GGTACCAGGGATCGAACTTGGGTCCTTAGCTTGCAAAGCAGGCGGTGGAACCACTGAGCTAAATCCCCGGCCCTGGAATCTTAACTATTATATCCCTATGTGTACATTTTTTTTTTTTATCAAAGCTAGTTGGAGTCCTATATGCCTCACTTATATGTATGTTAAGTTCTTTCCCCCTGCTTGGGAAGTTTTCTGCCATCACTTCTGTGAAGAGTTTTTTTATGTCATCTGCACTCTCTCCTGTTTCTTCGTTGACTCTGATCAGTCTGATGTTATTCTTCTTTGCATCATCTAGCAGCTGCTGGATTGATTTCTTGTGGTCCCTTATTTTAAAGAAATTTTTCTTTTCCTGGTCACTAATTGCAATCTTATCTTCTATATCTGAAATTCTGTCCTCACATTAGTTTATTCTGCTGCATAAACTTTCAATGGAGTTTTTAATCTCCTGGAAATCTGTTTGTATCTGTTTCATGGATTCCATTTGTTTCCTATGTTGGAATTCCATCATGTTCCTCAGCTCTTCTATTTTTTTATCTGTGTCCTCTCTAGATTTATTAATCATGTGTTGCACTATGGGGACAATCTCTGCTCTTATCTGAGAAATTATTTCTGATTTTATTTTTTGCAGATCTTCTTTTGTTGCCAGTTCAGGGAGTCCAGGTGGTTGAGTATCAGACTGTTCTATCTCATTTCCCTTTGGGGTTGCTTTAGGTGATCTGGAAGTCTGGTTTTGAGACTTGTTTGTGTGTCTTCTCATTTCAATGGGGGTGGGAGGGTGGGGGGAGTGTGTGCTGCTGGCGCCCATGTGTCTCACTTCCTTGGCGCTGGGGGTGGTGGTACAGAGGCCCAGAAGGCTCCTCCTCAGTGCTGGCGGTGGCTCTGCTCCTTGGCACTGGGGGTGGTGGTGCAGCAGGCTGCAAGGCTCCCTGAAGGCTCATGTTTAATATTCCCTTGCCCCCTCAACTTCTGCTTTATTCTTTTTTTGGAGGGGGGAGTACAGGGGATCAAACTCAGGACCTTGCACTTGTGAGGCAGGCAGTGGAAACAATGAGCTAAATCCCCAGCCCTGTTTTATTCTTTCTTCTGTAGGGCTGCCATGATCTCACACCCACCAAATACTTACAACAATTCCGAGCCCCCAAAGTGGGGGGCTACTGCCAGGAAGACATTGACAATGACAATGACAATTTAGCATTCAGGCTTCTTTCTTTGGGGGTATGTGCCTTCCCTCTTCCTTGAATAGGCTAAATTTCCCAAAGAGACCAATCATAAACATCTGTCTGTTAGTTCACTCACCCTCTCTGCTGAAAAACTAATTCCTACCTTCTCTCTTGTATTTTCAATTCACTGGCTACAGGTCTCCCTCTTCAATCTCAACTGATGACTTTGTTCCCCTTTCCTTGGTCCTTAGAGATGCAGCCCCTCCAGCCTCAGTTTTTCCCTCCTCAGCCCCTGTAGCTGCTTTTGCTACCTAACTGGCAGCAGGTCCCTACTGCCTTTGCAAGATTCCCCTTACCTTCCCCACTTGTTCAGTGTTCAGTCCCAAGACATCTCCTTTCCTACTGGCACTCCTCCTAACCCCATGGCTTTAATTCTACCTAGGTGCAGATGCCTCCCAACTTCCAGCTCTAGCCTCACACACCAACTACTACCTGCTCAGTATCTCCACTTGGATATCCAATGGGCATCACAAAAGTAATAGGTCAAGAAACAAACTCTTAATCTTTCCTGCCAAACCTATGGCCTTCCAAACTTTTCTCCACTTCAATAAATATAACTTCATCTTCCATGTGCTTGGATCAAAAACTTTATAGAACTGTGTTATCTAATACTGTAGTCCCAGCATGTGTGGCCGTTTAACATTAAATAATTGAATAACATTTAGGGCTCAGTTTGTCAGTTGTTCTAGCTCCTTTCGCCCCTGGGTCCCATAGAATAGAGCACAGATGGAAACCATGGCCATCAGTACAGGAAGTCTGATGCCACAGTGCTGCTTCAGGATCTTCCACATATCATTTCATTACCCAGTCATATCCAATCCCATAAGATCTACCTTCAAAATGTGCCTAGCCAGGGATTTAGTTCAATGGCGCTGCACCTGCCTCGTAGGCACAAGGTCCTGAATTCAATCCCCAGTACCACAAAAAAAACCCCAAAAAGCCCCAAAACCCAAAATGTGCCTGAACTGCCAATCACTTCTCTCCTTTAAGGAGAGGCTCCTTATTAAGAACCAATGTGGTAGCCGGGTATGGTGGTATACAAATGTAATCCCAGGTATTTGGGAGGCTGAAGCAAGAGGATCAACAAGTTTAAGGCCAGCCTGAGCAACTCAGTGAGATCCTTTGTCAAAATGAAAATTTTTATAAAAGGCCAGCCGGGGACTTAGCTCAGTGGTTCTGTTTTCTGCCTTGCAAGCGCAAGGACCCAAGTTCAATCCCTGGTACCCAAAACAAACAAACAAACAAAAACAAATAATAATATAAAAGGCCAGGGATGTACCTAAATGGTGAGAGTGGTTGCCTAGCATGTGTGAGGTCTTAGGTTCAATCTTCAGTACCACAAAACAAAAACCAATGTGTGACTTTTTTTCAGGTCCAACCACACTGATTACAGGCTTTCCCTGGCAGGCCTCACACAGAAAAGCTGCTCTGCCATCAGACCAGGGGCACAGATAACGTACTACTGTCCCTGGGGGAGCTGTGGTCAAGGACTCAGGCCCTTTGGATAGCCTTGCTTGCTCCTTTTTTTTTGGTTTTGTGAGACAGGGTCTCACTATGTCACTCAGGCTGGCCTTGACCTCACTATGTAGCCCAGGCTAGCCTCAAACTCACGGCAATCCTCCTCCCTCAGCCTCCTGAGTGCTGGGATTACAGGTGTGCACCACCACACCTAGCTTCTCTCCTTTTTTGGCGGGGAGAGGGTTTGCTGAGATGAGTTGTGTATTCTTATAATCTATTTCAAGTTTGATTTTGTTTTTGTTCTTTCCGTGCTGGGGGTCAAACCCAGGGCCTCTCACACATTAGGCAAGTGCTCTACCACTGAGGTACATCCCCATCCCCCTTGCTCTCATTTGTATTCTGAACCCTGGCACCATTAACCCTAGGTCACTTCAACTGATGTGGGCCAATGTCCTCTTCAGGGCCTCTATTGAGGCCTCCTTAGGGGCATGGGACACTTTCCCTACCCAGATTCAGTGTCCTGTACTTCTCTACTCCTGGCCCCTTGTACCACTTCAGGGCCATGAAACTGCTGGAACCTTTTTTGGGGGCTCCTGCCCTTAACTGGTGGGGGTACTGTTCTACAGGGGAGATGAGCAGGGTCTGTTGTCCCTTCCTCTGGTTTTTTTAGTCTTTCTTACCCCTTCACAGTAAGTTATGAGAAGCCAAAACTGTCACTCTAGCTTGTTGCTTTAAGTCAGTTTCTCCAACACCTGTCAGCTCCGATGGGCTCCTGGCACCTACCCTTTCCTCAACCACTCTGTTCCAAATGCCTGTCACCTGCTACCACCCTCCTGGCCTCTCACTTCCCTGAGAGCAGCCCAGTGGCCAGAGTGATTTTTTTCACAGAAAATGCAAAGCATATATATCTCTGCTCAAAATCCCAAGTGATTTTCCAGCTCAGTGTAAAAGTCAAAGGCTTCCTTTCCAGGGGCCAAAGGGTTTGCCACTGCCTCCTCTTTTAGCTCTCACCATAGGGTCTCCCTGCTTTTTGTTAAAAACACCTACTGAACCTTCTCTTCTCAGGACACACTCCCCCCACCTGCCTACATGGCTTGCTCCTTCCCTTCCTCAGATCTTTAAGAAACCATCCAATTCATGAGGGCTTCCTGATCACCCTATTTAAAATACCTCTCCCCAGCACTCTCCACCCCTGACCCTGCCTTTTATCTCTGTGGCACTGACTATACCAGATCTACCACACTTTTAATATTGTTGTCCACAGTCTGACTTCTCCAGCTAGGCTACAGAGACACAGAACTTCTGTCCTCTTCATTCACATCTATATCTCCAATGCTCAAATGTTACCTGTTGCATACTGGGCTTTCAGTAAGGAGTTATGAATTAATTCACTGTGACTTTCTTTTTATTTCAATTCTGATGAGCATAAAACTAACCAACTGCCCTCAGTCAAGAGTAGGGAAAGAAGTGATTCTGTGATCACCCCCCTACCCCATTTCCAAGTCTAAGAAATAAACACTCCCTTGCTACAAGTATTTGATTGTCCTTACCTTGGAGCTAAGATCAAATTTGAACTTGCTGATATCTTCCTCTCCTACTTTAGAGCCTTCCATCCCTTTGGTCTTCATAGCATTATAAAGGACGGATGTGATCTTCAGCAGTTCTTTCACTGCATACCCATCTGCTTGGTAAAGCTTCTTGGTATTGAGTTTTATATGTGCCTTTGTGGCCTATTTTAAGACAAAACAACAAAGCCAGGCATGGTTTTGCCTGGGCTATAAAGTAAGTTCAAGACCAGCCTGAACTACATAGTGAGATCCAGTCTCAAAAAACAAAACAAAACAAAACAAAAAAGAATAACAACAATGGAAATAAATTAAGGACCTTACCTTTTAAAGTCTAAGCCAAATCTTAGGAAAGTAATTTGAAAATGTCTCTGCCAAAAATTGAAAGAACCTAACAGTATTATGAGTAAAATATCTAAGTGACATAAACTGTTAAGTATAGAAATTGGTAGAGCAATTTGGTAAGACACAGAAATAAAAAATGCACATATTTTCTGATCCAATAATTCCAATACTAAGAATTCAGTCAAGGATATAATCACATATACACAAAGTGATAGACATAGGTTATTTGTTATAGCATTATTTCAAAGAGCAAAAGTTGGAAATGACTAAAATACCTATCTATATAAATTGCTTAAATTATGGCACATCCATGTAAGAATACTAGTCAAATACAAGAGAGAAGGAGGAAATTCTGTATGTATTTGGAATGTTCTCCAAAATATACCACTAAGTAAACAAGATGCTACAGAGTGGTATATAATATACTATCATTTGTGTAAATGGAAGGAAAAATAATAATATATATTATTTGCTTAAACATGCATAATTTTCCATGGTAGAAATTTAAAACAGGGATTACTGGGAGTACAACTGTGCCCATGGCAGACAGGGTAGAAAGTATGTGATGACATACTTTAATTTCCCTAAAAATAAACACGCAAAAATCTTAACAAATAGTAAATTAAAAATAAACTAAAAACAAAAAAACTTCACTGTTGAAATGGCTTCACAGAACCTGGATGGTGGAAGGGTTTTAGAAAGTAAACTCAATTACTCAATTTGAAAGTAGCCCTAAATAGGATTCATCCCTTTCTAATTTTATAACTCCACAAAATAACTGTGAACTGACCATGAACTGGGCAACTGCCTTAATGAAGAAAACTCGGTCTTGTTCAGTCTCAACATCAGAAGGGATGTCAGTCTGAGGCTCATACCTATTGCAGAGAGAGAGCACAAACACAAGTTTATTTACAGAAAGTCCACTAAAGAGAAACTAGGCACCTGAAAGGGCAGTGCATCTCTAACACAGGACTCTCCAAGTCCCCACATAAGGCCATGAGATTAAGAAAAACTTCAAAATCAACACAAAATATCAAGGGAACAAATTCCCACCCAAAAACAGATTCAAGTGATTTAAAAATCAAATGTGGGGCTCAGCTTACAAAATTAAATCTCAGACCTTGAGGTTTTTGTAAAATAGTCATAAAACTGAAGAAATTTTTAAAAATAAATTTTACTTGGTTTCGCCACCTGCTGCACAAGCGCAAGGACCCGAGTTCGATCCCCAGTACCAAAAATAAATAAATAAATAAATAAATTTTACTTATTTATTTTTGAGACAAGGTTTTGCTATGCACAGTAGTTCAGGCAGGCCTTGAAATCACTATGTAGCCCAAACTGGCCTCAAACTCACATTGATCCTTCCTGCCTCAGCCTCCCGAGTGCTGGGACTATAGTATATACCACCATGCCCGGTTAAAAATAAATTTAAAAAATTCTAATTGTTGCTCTGGCCAACAGCCTTTGACTCTGACATAGACAACAGGGCTAAATAGTTCACTCTGAGAAGAAGCAGAGCTACTGAAGTTACTTTCTTTGAGTCACCTGTCATCAGGGTAAGCAGTCTGTAGCTTTCGACCTATTTTGGCTCGGCCTGTGAGCTAAAGATTTTTTTTTTAAGAACAAAGAATATGTGACAGAAACCTTGGGTACCCTCAATTTTGTGTGTAGCAAAATGTAAAATATTTACCATCTGGCCCTTAACACAAAAGGTTGCTGACCCTGAATCATTAGATTTCTTTACACAAGGAGAAATCTAAATTATATCTAATCCAGTGCAGGGCAGTCCCTGTCATTCTATGTGAAGAGATGAAAAGAAGCCAGCATCAGTGCTCTAATGAGTCCTCTCCCACAGTACTCTTTAAAATTCAGCTGATTTGGGGGTCTGGTTTTTTTTTTTTTTTGAGACAAGTTCTTGCCACAGTTCAGGCTGGCCCTGAATTCACTATGTAGCCCAGGCTGACCTTGAACTCATGGCAATCCTCTTGCCTCAGCCTCCAGAGTCCTGGGATTACAGGGAAGTGCCACTATGCCTGGCAAATTCAGCTGATTCTCAACAGATTACAAACTGACTCTGTCAAACTCAAACTGTACAAACTCCTCTTTTGCATCATAACAGTAACCTTTTTCTAGGTGGCTAATGATTAAAATGTAGTATTCATCCTTCAGTTTCAATAAAGTAGATTCTAACCTTTTCACAAGCCAGAGAAGCACTTCAGATACAAGTCCAAAGTTGGGTGTGCGGAAATTTTCCATGGAAATATGTCGTGGGTACCCTAGGGCTCGCATCATCTCTATGAAATCTGCACAAGGTAAAATGCAATTTGGTCAAATCCTCATCAAACAGAAACTACTTGTTAATTAAGATACAGCCTCTGCTTTCCCTTCTTATTCCCAAGCTATTGACAGTTTAGGAACTATCAACTTCCTAAGAGGGAAAGAAAAAAGAGACATATGATTTAAAATACCTAATCTGTTACCTGAAAAACATCCATTTAAGTTCAATGGAAGTACATGCTATACAGGAAAATTGGGTAGTGGAGTTAACTGTGGCTTTTATTTCTCTCTTTGATATCTTTCTCTTTACCACTCAAAATAAATACCTAGAGGGAAAAACGGGGTAAGGCAGGTGATGGGGGGATGAAAATTATCAAAGTATGTTATGTACAAATCTGCCAATATGAAATCCATTAATTTTCATAACCAAAAAAGTGGGGGATGATGGTACAGAGTGTTCCTATACATGCTTCACTCTGCTTCCTCTGCTGTTAACATCTTTTGTACCATGGCGCATTTATCAAACCTAAGAAATTAACATCACTACTGTACTATAAGCCAAGTTACCGTCCTTTTCTCCACTATGGCCTCTTTTGTAGGATCCAATCCAGTATAACATGTTTTATTAAACTGTCAAGTCTGGGCCAGGGATTTAGCTCAGTGTCCTGCCTTGTAAGCACAAGGTCCCAAGTTCGATCCCCGGTACCAGAAACAAACAGACAAAAACTGTCAAGTCTAAAAAAAAAAAAAAAAGAAAATACTTGGCCTTATAAAACATCACAAGGGAAAAATATTTTAAAATTTTAACAGTGATTATTTCTGGGGATTGGGTAAAGTTCACACATTTCTGAGTTGTCCTGTTTTTAAAAAGTTTTTATTTATTTATTTTTTTCAAGATGGGTCTCGCTATGTAGTTCAGCAGCCCTAACTCACTAAGTAGCCTAGGCTGGCCTTGAACTTGTGGCAATCCTCCTGCCTCAGCTTTCTGAGTGTTGGGATTACAGGCGTGTTCCACCACACCCGGCTTTTCTGAGTTGTCTTTTTTTAGTGAACATACAGGATCTTAATACAGACTTTAAAGACTAGTTGCTTTGTACTCAGAGAAATTTTAGTGGTTCAACTATAGAGCAAGATATAGATTTTATTATAAAACAGATTAAGAAATGGTAATATTAGTACCTGCTTTTTGTTTTGTTTTTTTGAGACAAGGTCTCCCTATGTAGTTCAGGCTGGCCTTGAACTCACTATGCAGCCCAGGCTGGCCTCAAACTCACAGTGATCCTCCTGCCTCAGCCTCCCAAGTGCTGGGATTACAGGTGTGAGGTACCATACCTGGCTCTATTACCTGTTTATAGTGTAGGTTGGGAACATCTCAGGAAAAGCTATAGCACTTTTAAGAAAGTATGACTTGAAAATGAATACAATTGGGCTGGAGATTTAGCTCAGTGGTGCTGCTGCCTGCCTCGAAAGCACAAGGTCCTGAGTTCGATCCCCAGTACTGGAAAAAAAATGCAGTTTCCATGATGTGCCAAGACCTATCTTCAGTGTGCTTTTTTGCAATGCAATACCTGTCCTCACTCTTCCTAAAGACAGATGTTCAAATGTCCCATCAACATTCACAAAAAACCTATCTGGGCCCTGGAAGTTAGGCGGGATTCCATCAGACAGTGAAGAAGACATGAATACAGGAAAGAGCGAAGTCACAAAGGGACTCTGTTTTTGAGAAATCTAAATATAGACTAGATAAAAGATAAAAAATAAACCATCACAGGCATTGCCTAAATACTTCTTTCTGCTAAGTAGGAGTCTGTTAATTCTGGAGTATTATAGAAAAATGGAGACTGATCTGAGTTAAGTTTCTTACTGTACATTCCATTAATGCACAGCATTTGGGATTTTATTCTCTTATATTCTCTGAATTTTATTTTCTGAAATTTTCTTCATGTACACTCTTCCAAATACAACTCCATTCACCAATCCCTAACGAAGTGCTGGCCTCACTAAAAACGTGAAACCCACCTTGTCTTTACAAGGCAGATCACCAAGGACCCTCAAATTCCAGAGGACATGATTTACTCTATGATGCTAGTAGCTGTTTCAATAAACTATGGATATTTACATTGTAGAAAAAGAGCAGTTCATAACTGAAAGAAGTATTCTGTTTAATGCTGAGATTCAGGAATCATCGATTTGGTGAGAAAAGTGACCTTAAGGAGGCCTCTGAAATTGCACCAAATTGACAATTACCTTAGAAAATGAGTGTATAAATGGCAAGACATTTATTTTATTTTATTTTTTTTTGGCAAGACATTTTAAATCACAGTCTTTGTATTAATCCTCGGTTCCACCCAGTTCTAGCTATGTGACTTAAAGCACAATACTTTATTATCTCTGTGCCTCAGAGTATTTCATCCAGGAATACCACCTACCTTACTGTTAAAGGACAAACATAAGATATTGAATGTGAAATCCTGATTTATAACAGATGTTCCCCAAAGGAGTAGTAATGAATATCCTTAACCTCATTCTTCCACTTCCCCACTCTCCTGGCAAAGGTATGTGCATTCTTTACCAACTCCAACAAAAGGGTGCAAGCTTTGGAGTTCAGGCAACCTGAATTCAAACTCCAATGCCACCTCGTATCACCTGTCACCTGTCCAAATTACTTGACCTGTTTTCGCATCTCTAAACATAGGGGAACGTAACTGTCTGTAGGATTAAATGGAACAATGCATATACACAGAACAGTACATGGCAGATCACAACTAAAAAAAAAAGTTAGCTATAATTCTTACCATCATCCAGCCCCCTCCTCAAAGCTCTAAGCTAACCCAACTCAGCATTTTCCATGCACTTTCCGATACGGCAATGAACATCCCCAGGTGCCTACAAGTCAGTTAAAATTAGGCAAAATTAAACCGCCGCAGTAGCCACATTTTAAGTGTTCTCTAGCCACCCGCGGCCAGTAGTAAACAGAACTTTCCATGATCACAAAGTGCTATTACACAAGGTTGGAACTCGGGGCTGCGTGGGGGCCGGGCCGGAGGGTCAGAGCACTCAGAGGGCCCTGGCGGAACCCAGAGTCTCTAGAAGGCACGCAGGCACAGGGGACTGATTGCCTTACTTCGGAGGTCGCGGAAAGACATGGTGCTCCGGTTCTCACGAGTCAGGGTCACAGCGGATAGCTCAGCTTTCGCAGGCCCAGCGCTCGCCAGTCTCTATAGCAACCCACAGAGCATGGAATGGTGCGCCGTATGGGTCAAACAACACAGGACGCGAAAAGCCTCAGCGCACATGCGCACACACACAAAAAACGGCCGACAGGGGGAGCCTCGGAAACGCCTACAGCAGTATATGTTGACCTCCCGGCCCTGCGAGAGGACTATGAGCCTTGAAGACACTCCTGACACAGTTTGTGGGGCAGTTGACGCTAACTGACATATCCTAAGTGCTCACTATGTGCTTCACAATGTGTTAGGCGCTTCCCACACTATTTCTCATTTCCTCACTCCAGGAAGCCAGGTCTCCCTTACGGGTCCTTGGATAGCGCACGTTCTGCCATGTGTAAAATGGTAAGCCCCGAGGATTATGCTGCCAAACAGTATCCGCGGCGTGGAAGACAGGAGAACTCTCTGGCCTAGACTGACCCAGGACATCGAGAGAGGTGCGCTGCGGCGATCTCGCACCTGCGCAGCCAGTTTAGTCTTCACCATCGGTCCAGAGCTCTTCGCTTCGGGGGCTGCCTTGGCAACCGTGGCCACAAACATGGCCTCTTCCACCAGGGGCGACAGTGAGGAGACCTACACTGGACGCTCTGGAGCGCGAGGATCTGCCCCCAGCACGTGGGTGAGTCAGCTCTCTGCTCCGCAGGTTGGGCGGCTGCTAGGGGAGTGGGAAAACAAGACCTGGGGAGAAAAATGAGGTGAGCCTGGAAGGGTACGCCAAGACAAAGTCGAACCCCCAAGACGGGGAGGTGCAGGGTCTAGGTTGCCTTTTGCCATGCATCCTGGTATTGGCCACGTATTTGACGCTTAAGGACTTAGTGTGTAGAACATGAAGGGGGTCCTGAAACAGCCACACACCAAAAAGGCGACAATATACTTGAATGAGGAAAGAATAGTCTTTTCTTTTATATATATTTTGATATTTCTTTTAATGCTAAAGGTAAAGAACCTGGCCTTTCAACACCCAAATCAAAGCAGAGAGACGGGAGTGAATTCCAAGTGTGGACAAAGCAACATCCGCAGGCAGGAGGGGTGGTGCAGGAGGGAGAGCTTTTGTGTTGCTGTTGTTGGCAGGAGAGCTAGGCAGTCTTAGATGTGCCTCTGGGAGTGGCAGTCTAGGCGTGTACTTTGCCACGAAGGGTAGCACAGATCCCAAGGCCCACCACCTACCCCTTATCCTCTTCTCTGAGGGCACCTATCTTACTGTAAGTCACTACTGATAAGTTGTTTGCGTGACTGCTGGGGGACAGATACACAGAGTTCTGTGGGAGTCTGTCCTGATCTTGCTCAGTTTGGTCAGGAGCAGGAGCCCATGTGTTTTTGCTGATCCAGTCGAACCCGGAACCCCCAGGGTCTTTTAAGTTGTTTTCATCTGATTGTCGATTCTTTTGGGGAGAGGCAAACGGGTTGAAGTTTCCTTCTACCTTGCGATGAGGCTGTGTGTTGAACTCCATTTCAAAAGACGACAGCTGCGGTGTTATTCCTAAAAGTCCACCCACCTCCACACTGAGAATCACCCAGATGACATCTCCGTAGTAGAGTCCGGTAGCAGTGCATATCTGCCCCTGTCCCTGATACACTCCTGCTCTGCTGGGGCTGCACATCTGGACCCTGGCATCTGCAATCTCTCGGCGCTCTAGGGATCTCACCATCACCATGTTCACATGTCCGAACTGGTCTCCCCCGACGTATTTAAGACAAACCCCTGGAGGCCAGACTTCTGCTCCAGAATTCTGGATCCGCCATGTTTTTACAAACTGAGTATCGGGAGGTATTGACTCCCTGTCTCCTATGGTGACGTCTTCAACAAAGGACATAGAAGTCACACTGATGTTTGGGCTTTCAAAATCATAATAGGCGCCAATTGCTGCTTGTAAGTTCCAGTTGGTCATGTCCAGGAAGAAGGCGCAGCCGGCAGCTGCTGGAACTCAGAGATGAGCACGTCCTTGTCGGTGGTGCCCAGGCAGCTGAACTGCATCAGCTCGGGGTCCAGGTCCACGTCCATGCCCTCCATGGGGGGGCCCGGACACCCGCTTCCCCGTCTCCTCACAACCGAGCCGCCGCCGCGCCACAGGGTCCGGGGAAGCTGAGGGGGCCCGCTGCTAGGCGGCGCCGCCACCCCGCTCCTCCGAGGTAGGCCCCGGGCCTCTCACCAAGTCATAGAGGTAAACTATTCAGCCACTCACTTACTCTCGCCCTCCACCCTCACCCCCCAGCGCCACCGCCCAAGAATAGTCTTTTCATCAAGTGTTTTTGGAACTGAAAATACATGAAACGCCACTCTTAATCTGGCACCGTATACAAAAATTAAAGTGGTTCACAAACCTAAATGTAAAACAGATTTTCTAGAATGCAGTTTACCGGGAAAGCTTTGTGACTGGGTTAGGCAAAATTTCTTAGATATATCAAAAAAATTTTCTTAGACATAAGATAACTATATAAAAATCTTAGGATAAAACTGGACTTCATCAAAATAGAAAACTCATGCTCTTCAAAAGGAACTGTTAAAGAAAATTCAACAAATTGAGTTTAGTGATCGAATTGGCATTTATTAGGGATTCTTGAATGGGCAGCATCCATCTTTGAAATAGAAAGGTGCTCCAACAGGCATGGCAGAACATTTGGGTTTTTAATGTAGCTTGAGCAAGGACAAAGAAACAGCAAAATAGTGGCTTGGTTAGCCTCAGGTTACTTTCCTTGTATAGGTTAAAGCAGAGGGAACTTCCTTATCAAGCTAACATGTGGACTGGCCTGCTTAGGATTGGTTGCTACAAATCTGTTTTTTGTAGTACTGGCTCCTTTCTAATTTCAGCTTGAAGAATTATGTGGCACCTAATAGGAGTGGCTTCATTCTAGTTTGGTCTGGTCTGTTAACATGGTCTCTCTTAAATTTTGTTTAACAACACTAAAGAAAACAAAATGAGCCGGCAATTTAGCTCAGTGGTTTCGCCACTTGCTGTGCAAGTGCAAGGACCCCAGCTGGATTCCTGGTACCAAAAAAAAAAAAAAAAAAAAAAGAAAACAAAACAAAAAGATAAGGCACAGTCTGGAAAAAATTAATTGCAAAACACATACTTGCTTTTTTTCTCCCCAAAGCCTTGTATCTAGAATAGAGTTCTCAACACTTAATAAGAAGACAATACAATTTAAAAATAGACAAAAAACTGAAAGATACTTCCAAAAGATCTTGGCACCCTTGTCAGAATCTGTTGACTATCACTATATGGATTCATTTCTGGGCTCTCCATTCTATTCCATTGGTCTAGATATCTATCCTTATGTCAGTTGTACAGTTTTGATTAATGTTAACTTTGTAGTAAGTTTTGAAATCAGAAGGTGTGAAACTTTGTTTTCCTTTTTGAAGAATGTGCCAGGTGTAGTGGTGCACACCTATAATCCTAGCACTTGGGAGAATGAAGCAGGAGGATACCCAGCCTGGGGTACATAGTGAGTTCAAGGCCAGCCTGAAATACATAGCAAGACCATGTCTCAAAAAACAAAAAGGTTGGGGGGCTCCAAGGTGGGAGGGAGGAAAAAGAAAAATAAGAATGTTGTTGGGGGTAGGATGGTGGGGCATACCTTCAGTTACAGCTACTTGGGAGGCTCAGGCAGGAGGACTGAAATGAGTTTGAGGCCAGCCTGGGCTACATAGTAAGAACCTGTCTCAACCCCCCTACCCCAGTTATTAAAGGTAGAAGATATTGATAGAGAAGTGCTATACAGTAAGACAGGCCCTTGCCTTGCCTCCATTTTTTTTCCACAGAATATTTTGTTTTGGAAATGTAAGTTTGTGTTGCTGGGCTCCTGCCCAATGTATCAAAATGGTTTGTGACTGTTTGAACTGTATGACCTTTCAGGAATGTTCTGTTAAACTCTGCCCCCTCAGAAGGTTCTGTTAAATTCCACCCCTTTACTTCAGGAATGTTCTGTAACTCCGCCCCCTGCCTCATTGAGCATGCTCACACAGCATGTGTTTCAGGAATGTTCTGTAACTCTGCCCCTTTACATTAGAAATGTTCTGTGACACCCCCCACCCCCCTGTTTCATTGAGCATGCTCACCTACCCTGTAGATCCCTGTATAAGGAGGCTCTCATTTCTGGTAGAGCACTCCGACTCCTTTGAGCTCACCTGGCTTGCTGGCGTAATAAAGGTTTTTTTCTCCACCTCTTCAACTGACCATTGGATTCTCGAGTCTTCAAATTACAAGAGCTATGACCCAGAGCTGCCACATTGAGCTATAAAGCTCACCTGTGCCTCAGAGCTGTGGCACTTGGCTGCAACCCTGAGCTGCTCTGCTCTGCCACAACAGTATAGCTCAGTGATAGAGCACTTGCCTAGCATGTGCAAGGCCAAGGCTTCAGTCCCCACTACTACAAAACAAGAATGTTGCAGTTAGTTGGAGTCCCTTGTAATTCCATGTTTTTTGTGTTCTTTTTCCTTGTAATTCCATGTTAATTTTAGGATCAGCTTTTCAATTTTTGCCTGTAATGGTTAATTTTATATGTCAACTTGATTGTGCTAGGGGATGACCAGATAGCTAGGAAAACATTTCTGGGTGTATTTGGGATAATGATTCAAGAAGAAATTAGCATTTGAATTGGTACACTGAGTAAAGCAGATGCCCCTCACCAACGTGGGTGGGTGTCAGTCAGACCATTAAGGGTCCAGTTAAAACAAAAAGGTGGGAGAAAGTTTCTTAAGCTGGGACATCCATCCATCCTCTGCTTTTAGACATTGGAGTTCCTGGTTCTTAGGCCTTTCCAAGTACACCAGTTCTACCCCCATTTCCACCCCAGTTCTCAGGTCTTCAGACTTGGATTTAATTACATCATTGGCTTTTGTGATTTTCCAAATGCAGGCCGTGTGTTGTGGGATTTCTTGACCTCCATAATCACTTGAGCTAATTCCCTTAATAAATCTTTTTTAAAAATCATTTATATATACTCTGATGATTCTGCTTATTTGGAGAGACCTAACATACTGCTCAAAAGCCTCACCAGGTCTTTATCACAAACCCTGATTTCCAACCCACACACATGGAAGCTGAGATGCTAAGAGTTCACCGCATAAAATAGCCCTCCAGCCTGCCAGAGTCGACTCTATCTTATGAAGTCTGTCCTAAGCCAGAAGAACCAGGGATTTCCTTTGGGGTTTGGCCTGTTCCCTTGCCTTCCTCCTCACCCTTCCCCTCCCTTGAACATCATCCTTCCTCAAACTCTACAGGGCTGCCTAGAAAGATCTAGAAAGGCTAGTCTTCCCCATGACATCATAAGAGTCAGTTGCCACGGAAGCCCTCCAGCCCCACCCTTTAGGCAGGGGAGAGCAGGGCCCTTTAGGACGCAAGGCCTGGCCACTCCTTCTCCAGCACACTGGCTCTCCATGGAAGACTTGGTCTGTGCATTCTCTGAGCTGTGCATAAGAGAAGGTGCCAGGCTACAGGGAAGAGTGGCAGAAGAAATGCTCTCCTTTTCCAACATGGGCCTAAAGCCACTGAGATGGCCTCAGGGACATGAATGCTTAGAAGAGGGGAATGGCCACTGATCTAGGCCCTATGACCCTGGGCTGGTCACATCCTCTGGGACCCACTGTGGAACTTCTGTACCTGGACTTGGATACTCTTTCTAGGGTTGGGCACCAAGGGGTGGCACAAGAGGCTTGAAGTGCTAAAAGGGATCTCAGTGTTAAGGTTCTAGGCTTCTTAGGTATCCCTGTTGGTTGGAAGAGTAAAGAGGATAAAAGCAAGACAGAGGCAGGAAATCAAGCTCATTTGACAGACAGATAAGTAAGCTGAGGCTGGGTAGGCTGATAAGAGCCCACCACAGGAGCTGGTCTCTGAGGCAGGAGCCTGCTTTCTCCCTTCATTAATGCTAGGCTGGCTGGCTGCTACCTTCCTACTTTACCCCCTGCAGATGCAGTGAGCTGGGCTGGAGGACACCCCAGCCACCCCGACACTCCACCCAACATCTATGGGGGACGGGGATGGGGATCCAGCAGGAGCAGTGCCCTGGTATCCAGGGAAGCAAACCCAAGAACTTCCGGCTGCGCCACCTCCGAAGCCTCGGCTTTCTACCTGCCAGGCCTCATGTAGCCTGCTGGCCAGGGTGAGAGCCACTTGCAGGGCTGGCTCCTGGTCAGAGACTGCCTGTTAGAGCCTGAGGACTCAGCCTGGCCCCTGGAGCTGCCACAGGGGACTCTGGGTCCAGGTACCAGCCCCTGCTCAGCCTTTCTGGAAGCCAAACTGCCCAGGGACAGCCTGGGAAATACAGGTGAGCTCTGTTGAGGTAGGACTGGGGAATGAAAGGGAAGACCTCAGGGGACCCAGATGGCCCTTATCCATTCCCCAGCCTTCTCCAGGGACTAGAAAGGGACACAGTGGCCAGTCACACTGCCCCCAAGATGTGATGTCATATAACAGGGGTCAAGATCTTTATCTGCCCCCATGTTCTATGCCCCACTGTTAGGCTGAAACCACAGATGTGCCCAAGTTATAAAATCCCCAGGGCCATCAGGTCTTCGTATTGCACAGCTGGGCCAGGACTGGAGTATCCAATGGGCAGGATATGTCAGGCAAAGAGGAGGGTCTGGGCTCAAGAGTTCTGCATTCCTGCTCTAGCTCTGCATTTGAAGAGGAACTTTGGACAACTTTTCTTGCTGGACCTCAGTTTGTCCACTTGTAAAATGAGGGGTTTGGGATAGATTAGGGTCCTGCCAGCTTGAACCATTTGTCTCTCCCTGCCTCCTCACCAGTTCTTTCAAAGAAACGTCACCCAATCCCCGTTTTTGTTGTTTTTTTGGTACCGGGGATGGAACTCAGGACCTTGCACTTTCGAGGCAGGCGCTAGAACCACTGAGCTAAATCCCCGGCCCCTTCTCTTTTGAAGTATGTCCAGTTCTGGGGACCCCAGCGTGGGCTGCCAACTTCCCCTCATCTCTCTCTGGGTCTGTTTTTTTTTTGGTACTGGGGACCGAACTCGGGTCCTTGTGCTTGTGCAGCAGGCGGCGAAAGCACTGAGGTAAGTCCCCGGCCCTCTCTGGGTCTTTCTGAATGACTTCTCTTTCCTCTTTCCTCAGCTTCCAGCTCCAGGATGGACTCAACAAAGGGTGTCCCCTCCCAACCTGATTGTCATGAAGCCTTGGGGCTCTGACCCAAGAGGTCCTGGGGGACCCTGGAGGAGGTCATGTGTCCCTTGTGCAAGAGAACCTGCTCTGGGACCTTGGAGAGGTCACAGGAATCCCAGTACCAGGGCTGGGGACAGCGGGGGAAGGATGGCTGAGGAGGAAGAAGTAGCAGGTCCAGAGAGGAAGGACTCAGCCCCAACAGTAATCCTCCCCACTGGGATGCCCCCTGCCCCTTGCAGCTGCCCAGCTCCAGACCTGGGCCAGCCTCAGGAAAGTGCAGGGAGGGCAAAGTCCTGCGGGCGGGACAGAAGAAATGGAAACATGGCCCTGCCCTTGCAGCCTGCCCTTGCAGCCTGCCCCAAATCCAGTCAGCCCCTTGTAGCAGGGAGTCCAGGCCAAGTGGACAATCAGGTTCCTGAGAAGTCAGGAAGCCTTCAGGTCTAATCACATTAAAAGCCAAGGCCTGCAGTTTCTTGTCCATCTCTGTCTTCAGTCCAGTTCAGACAAGCAGCCCAAGTCAACTTCAGAGCACCCCTGCCCTAAGCTGGGGTGCCTGAGAGTCACAAGCCAGGTCAGAGGCATTCTTGGAAGTGGGGTTGCTGAGGTGGCTCTACAAGGTAGGTAGGGTCTCACAGGCCTAAATGTGCCAGGGAGAACAGAGACAGAAACTTTGGCCTGGATCCTGTACCGCCCCTACTGAGGGCTTGGTTCGACCTGAAGTTGAAAGACTGACCTTAGAAGGAAGAACACTGACAGCAGGGTTTTGGAAACCATCCAAGGGTAGCAAGGGCTGGGGCACATGTGAATGGAACATAGCTGGCCAGTGGGTCACCCAGCGTTTCAGTAGGTGAAAGAGGGCAGCTGCTTCTGCCCTATCCAAAATGCACTCCCTTGGGCCTGAGACCACTACCCAAGATAAGACATTAAGGAGGCTGCTAAGGAGAAACAGAGGGGCTGGCTGCTTGTCACCCAGGGAGGCCTGGGTAGGGCTGCTATCAGGGGCACTGGGCAGAAGTGAGATATCCCAGAAGCCAGCCATACAACCCAAGGGGAAACCAAGGGATCCTGATCCCCTCTTCTGAACATAGTAGAGGTTCAGGAGCAGACTGTCCCAGAATCCAAACTTTGGGACATGCAGGCCATGGTCGGTCAGTGGCCACTTAGGAGACCCCTTGGTGAGCCATGTGTCCCCATGTTCTGGCCCTTGTGCAGTCTCTCTGGGTCTTTACCAGTAAAATGTGGCAGAAGGAACATGATGTCACTTTTGGGTGGGAGGCCTGGAGGTTTCTAAAGTTGCTATTGGGGAGGGTCAGTGGTCACATGAGGAATCAGTTGTCCCAACTGCCCTACAGTGGGAAACCAACCAAGCCCAGGGAGGACATAGTCATGGCCCAGCTCACCGTGGGCAGTTCAGGTATAGATCCTTCAGCTCTGACAGAACTGTAATGACACAGCTGCTGGTTAGACTGTTGTTTGGCGATATCCTGTAGCCATGTTCTAGGCTTGCTCCCCCAGTAAAGTCACTTGCAGCTGCCTCATGCTGGTCCCAGAGGAAATTACCCTCTAGATAGTTCCTTTCTAAAGCCTGCACAAGTTTTCTTGAAAAGCACTACAGATAGACCAAGAAGCAGAAAAGCAACTGTCATGGCATGCTGGCAATTGGTCAATGTGGAGGAACACCCCAGGGGCTCCCAGATACTCATGGAAATGGGCCTTAGAACACCCTTGTCTATGATCCTCCAAATGCTAGTGGGTTGGGAGCTTAGTGAGCTGGAGTCAGTCCTGCCCCTAAGGAGACTGTCCTAGAAGTATGAGGACTTGTGTGGACTGCTGTAATGTCCAATGAGCTGGACCCTGCACGTAATCTGGAGCAGTGTGCATGGAAACCGAGGAGACTGAGCCTTCCTGGTAAGGGGCACACAGTCAATCATCGGGGGTTCTTAGGAAGTTTCCCTTCAGCTTGGGGCAGAGCTAGCTTCCTTTAAGCTGGTCTGTCCAAATTCCTGGGGAAGCTGTGAGGTGACTGCACTTCCTTTTTGCCCAAATAGGGCTCAGTGTTTTCTGGCCCAGCTGTGGTGGTGGGGCTTTGGTGAGAGGCCAGGAGCAGTAGTTACCATGAGGTCACCAAAGCAGGGTGGCTGAGGTGCCCAACAGGCTGGGGAAGCCACAGCTGCCTTGGGTGGAGCCGCTCAGTGCCACTCTGCCTAAGCACATGGACATTTGTTCTCACAACAGACCAAGGGCCCTCAGGAGTCATCCCCTCAATTCCAATGCTGACCCCTTCAAGGGTGACATTTATTCTTGCCTAAAGACCCCAGGCTGTGTGACTCAAAAGCACAGTACTCCTACCAGGACAAGCCCAGCAGGACTATCTGGTTCTATCCGCCTGTGTCACTTTCAGCTGTCTGGCCTCAGAGGACATCAGGGTGACTTCTACTGGCAGTGACACCAGCCTCTGCCCTGACTACGGTTAGGTGCCTCGAACTCTCCCCAGAGGGCCCCTGAGTGGGTATGGGGGCACATCCCTGCCACTGGTTGAGTCTACCCATATGACAGGGTAGCACACATGGTTCTAGCATTATGGTGGTAAAGCAGCAGCAGCATCCACTGATAGCTCCAAGATACACACCAAGGTCAATCAGAGTGTGGCTACCTGAGGTGGTAGAGACACTGACCAGTGGAATACAACCTGAACAGGATAGCAAGCAGGTGACATACACAACTGGAAGAAGGTAAAGCCACCCTCCAACTGTGGCACTGTTCCCAGTGCAGGTCTGTGGTGACAGTAGGAGCTTCTCTTTCATGGGAGTCATAGTGTGGCTCCCACTCAGGTTTGGAGACTAAGCCATTCTATAAAATGCACAAAGTATTCATGGGGAGAGGGTAAGGGGCAGCCACAGCTGCCCACTTGTCCCAGATGCCACAGTCCACAGTGCCAAACCACATAGTCCCACCACCTGGGACACAGTCCAGTCTGAGACAGTAGGAAAGAAAATACTTCCTGGTTCCTGGACTGTTCTCAGGTCTGGAGTCTGAGCCATTCTCAGGACCAAGTTGGAGATAGAAGTGGTAGGTGACAAATCAATCTTAGCTCAGGCTTCTGCCTCCCTGGTACTGGGCACATGTAGGCTTCATAGGGACTCTTGTCACAAACTGTAGTTCTTGGTAATTTCCCAGCCTGAGTCAGTTCTCACCTTTCTACTGTGGATGCAAACATGGCACCTCCCCACAGGTGGCCAGGTTTACACTGGAGGGTGGTGGAAGCTCCTGGCTTGTGGTTGGCTGGCCGAGGGCCCTCGGTGGCTATGAGGCTGAACTGCCTTTGGAGCCTTCTCTAAGCCAGGCCAGAGCCCACCTGGACCAGGCCCAAGCTTGAGGTCAAGAGCCAAGGAGCCAGCTTAACCTGAGGGCAGGTGGTGAGAAACTTTCAAATCTAGGATCAGCCACTTGTGGCTTTCAGCTCTGGAGGCCCTTTCCCAGGTTCTCATTACTCAGGAGGGTTAATTACAGAGTGGTCCCCCAGCTGGCAGAAGCCATCTTTCAGGATACCACCAAGCAGCAGCTCCTGAGTCCTCAGCAACAGCCTGGGGTGGGGCCAAGGGTCTCCAGCACAGTGAGTTAGGTGCTGGAGACAGGACGAGACCAGTTACAGTCTATTTATTTATGATGAGACAAAACACTACAATCTATTCAATACTGGGCTAGACACTGCCATGATTAGAGAACAGGAGGGAGGGCAGGGCAGGGCAAGGCCTCTGAGCTGGATTGTAAATGTCCAAGGGAGAATCTTCTGGAAGACTCTCTTTGACCACATGGGACAGAAATGAAAATCATATGATCACTGTTGAGAAGAGAGGACTCAAATATGGGGCCTCAGCACACAGCCGATGCTCGCCAGCACAATTTGGGCCACCCGCTGGCCAACACTGTTGAGGGAGGGGGACCTTTTTCCTGCCTGGGGCCTGCCTGCATGGTGAGGACCCTTTGAGGTTGCAAGGAGGCCTGGTCCAGGAAGGAAGCACTCAAGTCACCAAGGGCCCATCTGCAGAGCTGCTCCTCCTCTCCTTCAGGCTGCACAGTGAGGGACTGCAAGGGCATTCTTCCCTGGTTCCTGTGATAGTGCAGCAGTGATGGGCAGGACATGGCAGCAAGTAGCCTGTGGGTCCAAGGTGAGGGATGCTAGAAGCGTGTGACATATGCACACTGCAAGCATGATTTATGAGGTTGACACAGGCTTTGCTCTCGGAGACTAAAGGGCGGTAAGCATGGACTGCCTCCTGCCTGTAAGACTAGGCCACACCGGCCCATGGCAGCAGGGTTGCCCAATATGGGGCTTGACCTCCTCTTATATCTGGCCAGGTCTTGGAGCTGCAGCTCATAGAAGACAGGCAGGGCAGGGCCCCAGGAGCCTCACTATCACCTGCCTGCAGGCCAGCTCCCAGCACAGGTCAGCTGCATGGAGCACACTGGGAGCCAACAGGCAGGATGACCTCTCCAGACAGTGAGAAGTGTGTAGCAGGAGGCCATTGAGGAGCATGTAACTGTCCCATGGTCTAATTTCTTGAGCCAGAAGCTATGCTTTCGTGTAGAGCTATGCCCCTTCTGCCCACCCCTTGCCAGCCTCTCAGGCTTCTTCAGCTTGGTCCTCAACAAAAGGCCAGGCATTTCCTTGACTACAGTTCTATTGCTCTGAGGTTCCTATGTCTTCAGGTTCAAGGGTGTCCACACTTTCTCCTTTGCAGCAGAAAGTCCATCTGGATTTGCAGGAAGGAGTTGACAGGAGGGCAGTGCAGTGAGAGAGGCCTGGTGCAAGTCCACTAGGTGGAGGCAGAAGTTTCCAGAAGCAAGGAGGAGAGCCAGGGAGCCTGGAGGAAAGAGAACAGGGTAGGGTGAAGGCACTGGGAAACATACCCACTCCCTATAGGATGCAGGGAGGCGAGGGCACCCCCAGAATATGATCCCTTCTCCAGGCCCATTAATTTCTGCCACTGGCCACCAGGCTCCTCTCAGTCCTGGCACAAATAAAAGCACTGAGAGCTCCACCCTTGGATATGCACCCTAGGTAGCCACAGAGCCTGTCATGTGAGTGTGGTTCAAGTCAACCAGCATCTGTTGTGGGTATACAAGGGGGTAGGCGCTGGTGTCCTTTGGACCCAGTGGAGATCAGCTCCCAGAGGCACTCACACATGCCAGAATGGCTGTTCCCAGGCAAAAGTTTCATCTCCAAGGTACCCATAAGAGCCAAGCCCACCCTCGGGTTTGGTATGTGTGGAATTTCTGGAAGCACACTGAAGACACAAATGTTATGTCTTGTTTCTAGATGTTTCCCCAGAGCCTCATGTGGTCATAGGTGAAGATTTTTGGAGGTGGCTGGATCTGGAGGTGTGATGCTGGGATTAAGGGGCCCCACCCTGGGAGTGAGTGCTACCCACCCAAAGGCAGGTCGCCTGGATGGAATATAAGGGACAGAAAGGATGCTTCCTACTGCTTCTATTGTTTTGCTGCTTGTCTGCTGCTTTTTCCATCCTGCTCTGTGATGCTCCTCTGCCATGGAGCCAGCCAACTATGAACTGAAACCTCTATAAGCTGTAAGCCAAAATAAACCTTTCCTCCTTTAACTTTGGGCGTCGGGTATTTTGTCTCAGCAATAAGAAAACTAAGACAAGTCACTGGGTACTTATGGCAAGAGGAAACTGAGCAACTGGGGGATAAAGGTAGGTGGGACTTTATTTTTGAATCATATGATTACATTACAGGGAAAAAAAAGCAATTCAGGAAGTAAAAAGAAAGTTTTAGCCAGGGGCTCAAGGTGTCTGAGTCAGTTGAGAACTGCTCACAGCTGCCTGTCTATAGACTTTTGTGTTTGTTGTTGGCAGTACCAGGCTCCCCATGTCCCACTGTCCCATTGGCTAACTGCCAGAGCCAGAAGCTAAGCCCTGGAGCTCTGAGCTTTTGTGGAGAGTTATGCCCTCTACTCACCACTTGCCAGCCTCATGGAGGGTTGGGGGCAGCTCCTACCTGCTGGAGGCTGGATGCATGCTCAGCTCCTGAGCCCATGTAGCACCGGGCCTGCAGCTGGGGCAGGCCAATAGGCCAACAAGTGGCAGCCAGCTCCTTGCGGAGAGGAGAGGTCAGATGGAGAGGAAGGTGGGCTCTGTGGGCTCTGTAGGGTGGTAAGGTGTGGGGCCTGGTGGAGGCTGCCCCACTGGCGTCACATGGTGCGGCCGTACTCGATGCCGCTCTTGGTGGAGATGCCTGACCATGGAAGGAAGCTGCACAGCAGGCTGTGGGCTTGGCGGTAGATCCTGTGTGGGATGGAGCAGGGGCTCAGGTTGGCCAGCGCTGAGCCCAGGTGCTGGATGTAGTCTGTGGTTTCTGTCAAGGAAGACGGACTTGTCCCCACATGTCCTACCTATGTGTACTATCCTCGGGGGCCCACTCAATGACTCATACAGGAATCAGGGGCATTCAAGAGCCCACCATATTATTAGATAGCTTCTACTTTGTAGAATAAGGGCCAGAGTCTGAGAACCAGAGGACTTTCTGTGTAAAGCCTCAGGTAAACAAACAAGACACCTACACTAAGGTGACACATAAGGAGGGAGACGGATGCAGGGCAAAAGATGATTAACCATTCCTGGTTCTCCCCTAGTCTCAACCCTCAGCACATAAAGAGGGACAGAGCCCTGTCCCTATGATGAGGGGGATCTCAACAGTGCTGACCCCCGGATGCCTAAGTATCCACAGGGAACTGACTTCATGTCAGCCAGGTTTATAGGGCTTGAGATCACCTTGCATTTTCCTTTGATCCTGCTGAATGAGTGAATCCCAGACTCATTCACTTAAAAACCCACATGCAGGCCAGGGATTTAGCTCAGAGGCACCATGCCTGCCTCGAAAGCGCAAGGTCTTGAGTTTGATCTCAATTACCGTAAAAACAAACAAACAAAAAAATCAAACCCACATGGACTCCTGCTCAGTACCCTCTGGACCACACTATGACTGCTATGATGTCTCCTGGCCTCCTCCCTACACAGGGAAGTTCTGTTCAGTGTTGACCCAGCAGACCGAGAACCAGAGGCTCTCCATCAATACTTATTGAATGGATAGATGGATTTCGGGACAAGAAAGTTAAAACCATCACTCCTGCCAGGCTGAAGATGGGGAGCACTGGGTGCCAGACAGTATCTGCTTTCCTATCGTGAGGGTCCAGATTATTCATAGCAGATCTGCCCACAGTAAAAGCCAGTCACCTGACCATCACAGTCCCAGCTAGCTCAATGCCTCTGCCAGCCCTCTGGCTAGGAACCCATAAGCTCTCTCCACCAGCAGTAAAGGATATAAGATGGTCCAGGGAGGGTGGCCACCATTGATGTATAGGACATAAGTGAACCCATCTTTGAGGACCCCTCGGATGGAGTAGTAGTAAGGCAGATAGTGATGCTGCCTAAAGTCTCTATTTTCATAGAAGTTTATTGCTGTGTTGTTGGTGGTGAGGACATGCAGGTAGATGGCTTTGCAGTGATCCTGGGCAGTGGTTGATATGTGATCCTTTAAACTTTCAAGTAAAAGGGAACCTTGGGAGAAGAGGTGAAGGTTACACAGAGTGGAACAGTTACAAAGGAAGATGAGGCCATGACCTCTCCAGGAGTTGAGAGGTTGCTGGTCCTGGATCCAAGACCAGCTTTCCGTCACCTCCTATGGTCAAAGCCCCTAAGAGCTCACAGTCAAATGGAGCTCGTGAGCTGCAGTTCACTGTGGATCACAGGTGTGGCCTGTAGGTGTCTTTCTGTGGGCCAGACCCACAGTGGAGATACACCAACTTTCAGGCAACGAAAGTAAACTGGAGGGCCACGGAACACAGAATAGATGGGCCTGGGCCTGGGCTCAAAACTAAGACTGCTGCTCAGCACTGTGTGGCTGCTGAGTGGGATGGGAATTTGATGTCATGGTAGCTGACAAATGCTGGCAAGTGCTGTTGCTTCATTTATGTTTGTATTTTCTGCTCTGAATCAAGGACATCTGGCCAATAGACAAAGCTTGTGTCTGATGGTGGGAGGAGCAAGAGGGGTTATTCCTTCATGAAAGACCTATGAGAAGAAGATGGTGAAGAAGGGGGCATGCTAGGAGGAGAGGGATGGGGATGGGGGTCTGGACAAGGAGGGAAGATGAAGGGGGACGAAGAGACTCAGAGTCACTTATGAGCCGGAGTCACTGGAACAAGGGAATTGACTGCCAGAGGTGGGAAGTGTGCCCGAACCATGAACCAGCAGTCCCTTACCTATGCCGTGCTTTCTGAATTCCTTCACTACTCCCAGACTTAGAATGTATGCAACCTGTGTGTCCACAGAGAAGTTGGAGGCTAGAATATCTCCATCCTAAAGAGAAAGTTAAGAGGTAAAGTTAGGTTAACTCTTGAGATGCAGGGGGTCACAGCACAACCTACCTGTGGTTTATGTACCCACTTCCTGGGGCCACCCAGGGACAGGAGGGGCAGAGCAGAGAGGATAAGGCAGAGTCCCCCCCAGCTGCCCATGGAACAACGGGGTTTGGACCCTGCTGGTAAAAATCTGCTACAAGAATACCCACACACACAAAAGGAGCTTCTCTCAGGACTGGGTGGGATGGGTGAGGACAAGAGGGTCACTCTATGCCAGAACCAGGTAGTGTTAGGCAGGTAAAAAGGCAACAAGAGGGCCAGGGATGTAGCTCAAGGGTGCCGTGACTGCCTGGAAAGCAACAACGTCCCGAGTTCAATTCCTGATACCAGAAAAAAAAAAAAAAAAAAAAAAGCCAAGAACTGTCCCATGTAGACATTTAACAGGCACTCAGCATGTCGCAATAGACATACTACAAGGCTACTGGACATACAATTTATAAGGTTTAAAGAAGTACACACTAATTCTAGCACTCAGAAGGCTGAGGCAGGAGGATTCTAAGCTCAAGGCCAGCCTGAGGTACACAGACAGTCTTAAAAAAAAGTTAGGGTATAGTGGCACACACTTGTTGTCCTGGGACTTTGAGAGGGTGAGGCAAGGAGATCGCAAACTGGAGCCTAACATGGGCAACTTAGCAATACCTTGTCTAAAAGTAAAAACGATCTGAGGATGCCACCCCCAGACCAAGTGCACACTGCTTTGGGTGGCTTCCCATCCTTTTCTGCCACCCACATCACTCCATGTGTCTCTCTTGTTTCATATGTAGATTCTGCATGGGAGAATCATGAATCCAACCACCACAAGGTTCTTATTTTTTTCTACTTCATAAAGAACAAAAAGGACCTACTGTGTGCACAGTTCTCTACCCAAAGGAAGGATACTGGGCAACCCAGACTTTCTACTTCCTGTCCACAGGGTGGGCCCAGGCTGCTCCTTGCTCCATCTGAGCAGCTCCATGCTGCAGTGAACCTAACACAGCCGCCTCAGAGAGAAGGCATCCTCATTGCTCTTGTTACTCAAAGCCCTGGGCCAGTGTGAGGGTGCAGGGGGTCCCACTCCGGAGATGTCCCTTCAGAAGCAAAAGGGTCTCCATGCCTGTCTCAAGGGAAAACAAACGTGTCAGAGGGGCACAGAGATCCAGTCACCATGCACAGTGGAGCTGGATGATCACCTGGGGCACTTGGGGAAACCCACTGGCAGGGAGCATCAGGAACAAGGTGAGGGGCAAGTGAGACAGTGTCTCACACAAGAGGAAAGACTGAAAGGACACAGACTTTTGCTTTCTTTCTGCTGTCTTAGCCCTGAACAATGAAAGTAAGTTCAAGAGGAAGCTGGGCTAGAAAAAGTTACTCTCAGAAGAAACCAGAGTACAATTATGTGCATAATGGGGCAGACTTTAGTGAACCTAGCTCCTTAAAAGGGAGAGATGTCCTTTTTTCTTTTTTTTTGCATTGCTGAGGATGGAACCCAGGGTCTCACACATGCTGGGCAAGTGCTCTGCCACCCCCAGCCCCACTTTTTGCATGTTTGAAGAAATAACCTTAAGCCAAACAAAAAGAACTATTTGCCAGTGGGTGGTGGGTTTTGTCCTCCCTGGAGTAAACACCAGCCATCACTGAATTGTCAGCAGAATCTTGAAGTCAACCATGAGGAACAAGAGGTCCATGGCCATGACCTTACAGTTTATATTTAGAGTGGGGCCCACTAACCGGGGGGCTCCAGATTTCCAAGTGTCCCAAGATAGGTAGGTGTTAGAGGGGTCTGTGAAGTTGGATGCAAAGAAAGCAGATCTTGACTGTCACTGATCTCAAGCCAAAGCCCAGCATTTCCTTCAGGAGACCACAGCAGTGTTGGCAGTTTCTGGGACACTGCCATCAGCACAGAGCAGAGAGCTTTTCATAGCACATGACAACCATGCAGTTCTCAGTGTGTCATTCCTGCCCCTTCCTACTTCCAAATGGCCATCCTCAGTAAGCCTGCCGTTAGATTGTGTGACGTAGTGTACCAGCAAAGGTGTGCATACTCACACTGTGTCATGCGCTGCTCTCATCCCTCAGATCACAGGTCATAGGCCCAAGACAGAGGGCTGTGCAGCAGGCAGTGTGATTGCCTCGAGCCCCCTATGCCCCTGTCCAGCAACTGTGACAGTCAAAGTCAGCAACACAAACATACCTCTTTATGTATTTTGGTCCTGCTCTTAATTTCAGCTACTATCATTCCCACGATGGCGCCTCTATAGGTGGCAGCAAGGGAGAAGAACTTCTTGTTGGATGTGATATCACGATACCACGAGTCTGGGTACCTGAGGGAGGGAACACACTCAGGTGAGCCCATTGTATTTGTGACAACAGAGCCACAGGGAACCCCAGGTTTCTCTGCCCACCATGTACTCTCCAACTAACTATCACAGCTGTTTTCTCAAAGCAGCCATCTGTCCAGATAGGATTGGGAATTTCTGATGTGAAAATGATTTTACCAGATCTAAGACATGAGAAAGGGGAAAAACTCCAATAAAACCGTCTCCACGGGGCAATTAATGAAGGGCAACATAAGGCAGCCCGTTCCTCAGCTAGGCAAGCTGAAATTTTAGGGCTCTGGGTAACCCATGAACACTTGGGTGACTTCCTATAAGAATTCTGTGAGAGTTCTGGACACTGAAGACCAGGGGAAATGATGAGCAAGAGCCCCGTTTGCAAGTGAATGGATCTCAGTTTATGACACTTCCCTAGACAGGGGTAAGGACATGACCTCCAGGGCAATGTGTGGCCAGGAGTTCAGGGGCTGCACCAAGAACAAGGCCAAGCCCTACTGATTACAGGTGTATGTGCACCTTTGCTGGTACACGACGTCACGCGATCTAACGGCAGGCTTACTGAGGATGGCCATTTGGAAGTAGGAAGGGGCAGGAATGACACACTGAGAACTGCATGGTTGTCATGTGCTATGAAAAGCTCTCTGCTCTGTGCTGATGGCAGTGTCCCAGAAACTGCCAACACTGCTGTGGTCTCCTGAAGGAAATGCTGGGCTTTGGCTTGAGATCAGTGACAGTCAAGATCTGCTTTCTTTGTATCCAACCTCACAGACCCCTGCATGGTTGTCAAGTGCTATGAAGATGGCTGTGCTTTGTGATAGTGGCAGTGTCCTAGAAACTGCCAATACTTCTGTGGGGAGACCAGAGAGAAGAACACCTGAGGTGAAGGCCCTGGACACTGAACCAGCAGATCCATCCCAAACCCAGAGACCCCGGTCAGGAGAAGGGAGATAATTAGAGTTTATGGGCTTTGTTTCCTAAATTAGGGACAGACCTCACAGCTGGAGGAGAAGCAGCAGGGAAATGCTCCGCTCAACTCTGCAAAGGCCACTGATCATCCACCAAAAAGGTCCTTGACAAGACCTGAACACTACCCAGTTCCTCCTGGGCCCCAGGAGTGACCTAGAGCCTTTTGGTCAGGAGGTGGCATTGCCACCTCACAGCCCGTGAGGTGATGACCATCTCTCCACCATTGTGGGAACCTGGTGCCTCAGGAGCATAAGGTTTGTGGAGGTGGGTGGGCTAGTGCCTCAGTGGGCACAGAGGCCTACAGCCCTGTGTGTTTCTCCATGGCCCCATGTATCTCTCAGCATAACTTATTTCACTCCTACTTCCCTGGGGTACTTCAGCAGTGGGACTGCTGGCTTGAAGAATATTTTTAACTTATAAAGCCATTGCTAGTCCATAGCCCCAAGTTATAGGGCCAGAGGTGCATGGGGAGCTCTGTCCCTACCTTCTGTGGGCTCTTAAGTCTAACGTTAAGACTCATGGAAATAGTGATGGTTGCCAAGGTCATATATATATACACACACATATATATATATATATATTTTTTTTGGTACCAGGGATCAAACTTGGGACCTTGCACTTGGGAGGCAGGCACCGGAAGCACTGAGCTAAATCCCTGGCCCAAGGGTCTTACATATTTTTAATTTAAAAAGTTTTCAGTCCATTTTTCTCATTACAAAAGCTTTATATACCTAATATAGAATGATGTTAGGTAAAACAGACAAGCAAAACCAGAAAACTGTGGATACTAATAATCTACTCACCTCATACTACCGAGAATACTTGGTTACAAGGTCCTGGAGGGCCTCAGAAGATAATCCCAGAGTGAAGTCCTCAGAAGGAAAGTTCCTCTCTGAGCTTCTCCTACCCTCTTATCTCTTGCCCTCATTCTCCCGAGGCCAGCTGTGGAAATTAACATTTCTCTGCCCAAAAGGGGAGGTCACAGAAACCAGAGGCTCTTTCCCCAAAGCCAACCATAAAACCTAAAATCTTACTCTAACCACCACTACCTTTCTGTGTCAGAGGTGGCTATGAAGAAGTCTCTACCTATTTTGTCTGAGGGCAGACCTAAGACTCATTCTAGAAGGGGTCTGCACCCACAACCAGAAGGAATGCCAGAGACACCAAGGGGAATCTCAACAGACAGGATTTGCTGCATTTCCTTCTCAATTTATTAGCTTTGGGTCAAAGCCTTTTTGTCCTACAATTTCTACACTGCTGTCCCTGCTTCATCAAGCCTATATATAAAAACGGAAGAGTTCACTGTGGGTACTGTGGTCTCCAGTCTGAAGGCTCCCATGTCACATAAGACTATGATAAAATACATTTATTAGGCTTTTCTCTTGCTAACCTGTCCCTTGTTATATAGGAGAACATTCTCTTCCTTTTCTATAGTACATATTCTTAAAAGCTTTTATCCTGTGCATGTTTATAAATGAAAGTGGGACTGTGGAACATACTTTTCCTAATTTGCTTTTTTCACCTAATACCTACTAGTTAAAAACAAAAACAAAAAGCTTTCCCTGTCAATAAATGCACCTTTTTAACAGATTTTTTTTTCCCTTCCTGGCTGCATCTTTTGTTTGTGGTACTGAGGATTGCTACATCCCCGGCCCAGTTTTTATTTTATTTTCAGACAAGGTTTCACTAAGTTGCCCAGCTAGCATTGAACATGAGATCACCCTGCCCCAGACTCGAAGTAGCTGAGATTACAGACATGTACCACCATACCCCAGCTCAATACTATTTTTGTATGCACATATCCTAATGCATGTAAATAATTCTTTATAGTTAGGATACCTGAACTGCTTCTAAATTTCCTGAATATACAGCACTGCACGGAACATCTTTGTAACTAAAGCTTCCAGGCAGAGCCCTGGGGGGAACTTCACATAAGGAAGGAGGTGAGATATGAGGAGCTCCAGAGCCCCGAGGTCCATGGCTTGCTAAGCAACTGACCACAGTGATCCTTCTAGGCCTGTCCTTGCCTCTACTTCATGGTGATGTGCCCAAAAGGACCTCTGTAAGCCCTAACACCTGCAGATCTGAATGTTCTCCCCAATCCTGCACCTGCAGACCAGGATGCAGGTTCCCAACACTTACTCAATGGGGAACCAGTCGCTGCACAGGTGCTTCACGGTGTCTATGTCATCGTGGCAGAGGAGGCGCAGGCTGACCTCGCTGAGGGCACTGGACAGCACCACCTCTGTCATTCACACCTGCAGGGAAAAGAGAAAGCACCACCTAGAAGCTCATTCACCTGTTCCTGTCCTACATGCTGAACTGGAGAGGTAAGTGAGGAGCCCCAGCCAGAGAAAATCTTTTCTCACATCAGCTGAGTGCTTGCTTTGCAGATGAAGGAGCATAGGTGGGATGAGGCCTCGAAGAAGTGAGGCAAGCCTGGCTCCATCTAGTCTATCTCTCTTTCCTCTCCACTCTGAGCTGCCCGCTGAGCTCCCCAAGTGGACACCATGCCTCTTGGGCTGGTCAAGTCTTCTGACAGGTTCCCCTGCTACAGAAAGCACAATGGCCCTGGCCCAACTTCTCCCAACCTTGGCCCCATGGTTGCCAACAACAGATGTGGGGCTCAGCAGCCCCCATGTCTTGTTCCCTCAGGAGCAGCCTCCTGGGTCAGGGCCAGTGAATGGCTGGATGTTCAGGGCATAGAGGTGGGGCATATTCCACTTCTTCCTTGTACAATAGACACAGGTACTCCGAGAGACACTACCAGTTCAAATCAGCTGCCAACACTGTTTTTGTTGTAGTGGTGGTGGTCCTGGGGTTGAGCCCAGGGAGCGCTGACCTATCACCCCACCTTTTTTTGATTTTATTTTGAGACAGGGTCCTGTTAAGTTGCCCAGACTGGCCTCAAACTTCCAATCCTCCCGCCTCAGATTCCCAAGGCATGGCCAGCTCTCTCGTTTTATTTGAAAGGAGGGAGGGAGAAAATTCAAGTGCTGGCCTCTGATAAAAGGGAAAACAGATTTCTTCTTTAAGTTGGAAGCTGATAGTTTTTTAAAAAAAAAAGGACTACTCATTTATCATGCCTTTCTTTTTTTTTAATATATAAAAATATGCAGATATCCATATTTTTTTATTAAATTCTTTTATTGGGATTATGCCTTTCTAAAAGAACTACATCCATCCCCAATGGCTGAAGAAAAGTTCTTTTTTACATAAGAATGACAGCTAACAAAAGTAAAAACAATGAGACTCAGAGAGTGGCAAAACACCCTGCACCCAGGACTCTGTGAAGGCACAAGGAACATTCTGGAGCCATCTGGTCAGCCTCTCTCACTTCTGGCTGTGACCAGTGGGAAATGGCCCAAGTCCCTGGGTCTTCCTGCCCTAAATGCTAAGTCAGAACACAATGCAGTCTTCATTTATTTGTTTCTGGAGCAGAGGGGATCAAACCCAGGGCTTCACTAATGTTAGGCAAGTGCTCTACCACTGAGTCACATCCTGCTACAGTGCAGCCTTCAGGCCTAATTTCCTGGTCACCAATGATGCCTGGCATACGACAATAAAATAAATGATACCCAACAAACATGGGCATTTGACATTCTACATTCAGTTTCTTCAAAAAGTCAGTATCATTAAGAGTACAAGTACAGGGCTGGGGATTTAGCTCAGTGGTTCTGCCACCTGCCTTGCAAGCGCAAGGTCCTGAGTTCGATCCCCGGTACCAGAAAAAAGAGTACAAGTATAGGTGAAAAGACACAAAAGAATAATAATGCATGAATCCCTGCAAGAAAAAATAAAAGTTGAAACAATACTTGGGGGAGACAAACAGGCTGGCCTAGTATAAGTCACTACTATTTTTCTTAGATGCAATGAGGTACAGAGGTAACGTAGGAGAAAGTATTTTTAAGAAGATGCATGCTGAAATATTTTAGAGTAAAATACCATGATTTTAAGTGGTTCAGCAAGTATGACAAAAAGCTATCAACTGTCAGATCTATTGGCCTATAGCCATTCCATGCTACTCACTGTCCTATGTGCAACTTTTCTACATGCTTGAAAATTGTCATAATAAATACTGAGGTAGAGAGGACAGTCATTACTTGCCATAGTCCAGGCCATGCCCCGGGATCTAAAAGACCTGGACATTCAGCCCTCACAGTTTAGCAAAGCCAAGTGAAGCACCCACAGCAGCTGCTTGAGGTCATTGGTGCCTGCTACTCCAAACATGACTTATGCCTGAGCACAAGGCTTTCTCCCAGCTGCCACAGCCTGTAGGATGCCCACTTTGTTAACCCAGGCAGAGCTCCAGAAGTCCCATCAGCTGAGTCCACTGAGTTTCTGAGCTCTTATGGTATGGCCACCTCCAAACGGGACACATTGTGTGGCTCATGCTAGAAACAGTGAAATGAATGCAGATGGCTGGCAAGGCTGGCCAGGAGAACCAGTGGCATTTTGGTACCCACAGTAGATCTACCTCAAAAGGGGAAAGGCTAAAGCACAGGAAGTAGAAGAAGCAAGGAAGTCCTGAACCTCTGTGGCTGCCCAGGGCAGGGGACTGACTGCAAAGGTGCCAGGGGCTGCAGAAAAGCTTTAAGGGGACACAAATGTTCTTTATGCTGACTACAGTGAGTGGTGGTGGTCACCCCCCCCGCCCCCCCACATACATACATACACTTATCTGGACTCACAGAACTCTACATTTAAATGGACACATTACATTGTATGTATGTGTATTCAGCTCTCATAATAATTTTTAAAGATTTTTTTAAAACCTCTATGTTGAGGCTTGATAGAAAAGGTAGAGGTCCTATGTCATGGAATTTACACATTTCCTTCCTAGTATCTTTGGCACAAGGTTATTCCCAGGCAACTTTTAACTTTTATGAGGTTCAAGATACATAACTTACACTTCTGTGTTTCCAAAGGCTGGCTTTTTACAGGTCTCAACTTAAAAACGGACACACACCACATTTAACTGAGGAAAAACCACAGCACCTTATAGAGCCTCATCTTACCCAACCCAAGCAGCCAAGAGGTAGGGAGGCACATAGAAGGGAGAATCTAGCTGCCTGTGTGCCATGAAAGGGAGGTGCAGGGTCAATGGGTGGGGAGTAGCTAACCCACAAAGAGGGAGGTCCCTTAGCCTGTGGCCCATTAGCTTCCCTTTAGAGCAGGGGTCTTTGCTGATGCAAAGGTGAAGATGACCCAAGGCAGGCCTGTGGCCTCCATCCTGTTCCTGGGCCTGCTCTATGGCTATCCGCCCCCAACTCCCTTCATCCTACCCTGACTCCACATATCCATTCCAGGGACAGTAGGCCTGGGGAAGGGGAAGGGGCGGGCTGAGGAGGGCCACCCTGGGCCTTGCTTGAGGTGAAAAGACACAAACTGGCCAAAGGAGGCCTCATGACCAAGTGGGGCCCTCCTTCTAGGTCTGGTGAGGGGTTCACTTCTCGGGACTGGGGGCTTGAGTATTGGCAAATATTGCTGCTGTCACCAAACCTGCCCCAAGGGACACAAATGTTCTGTGCCTCTCAGATCAGATGAGCCAATATCAAAGTGCCTGCATCTGGACAGGCCGTGGGACCTACACAGGAAGCTGCTCTTCCCAGGCTGTGCTTAGACAGGGTGGCCATGCTGTTGGCCCGGGCCTTTCCCTGAGGAGCACTGGTACTGCATGCAAGGACATCTCAAGACATTTTCCAGCCCCTTGGTGGCATCCAGGGACTCAGTCAACTGCTTCACGTGCCCATTGGAAACTTTCCTCCAAGCAACTATACTCCATGCTCAAAGGCTACCTCTTGACATAAAGGACAAGTTGCAGTGATGGTGAACCTTTTAGAGACCAAGTATCCAAACTGCAACCAAAAACTCACTTACTAGGCTGGGGATTTAGCTCAGTAGCGCCACACCTGCCTTGCAAGCACAAGGTCCTGAGTTCAATCCCTGGTACCAGAAAAAAAAAACACAACAAAAAACACTTACTTACTGCAATGTGCCAACATATCGACTAAACCTGAATACTGAGGTTTTAGTTTACAAAAAACAACTGTTACCCAATGCTCGGCTACTGGGGCAACTTGGCTCACATGCCAACAGAGAGGGCTCTGCATGCCTGCTGCGGCATGCATGCCATAGGTCTGCCACCACTGAGGTAGAGGAAAGGGATCCTGTAGAAGCCCTGGGAGACAGGTGCTCTCCATCCCAGGCCCTCCCAATGAGATAGGCAATATGGCCAAAGCTGCAGGCATCTAGGCCATTTTTCATAAAAAGGTACAGGACATGTTCTATATTCCAGTATGGATGTACTTACTCGACAGGAGAATGCAAAGTTCACTTGGATTTTTCCAAACATGAAGCTTCAAGGTGTCACTCTTCAGGAAGAGCTTGTCCCTGGATGTCCTGGGTCTGTAGCCCAGTCATTTGCTTCAGGACATGGGTAAGTGAAGCAATTCAGAGAGCCTCAAGACCTGAAGAGAAGGCCTGGCTCTGCTCTCCTCGCTGTTCATTCCTTTCTCAACCTCAGCTTTTTGTGAACCTCACCCCTCTCTGGCTCTGCAATGACCCTTCTGGTCACTGTGCTGAAGGCTGCCTGTTGCAGAGATAGGAAGGTGCTGGACCTGGACTTACCACTGTCCTCAGTGGCTGGGCACACATCACTTAATAACACTTCACTGGGAGTAGCGCGGAACACGCCAAATAAGCCTGCTGCAGGCAGGCAGGTCTGCGGACGCCCTACCAAGGTCTCGAGTCGCACAGAACATGACGAATCAGCCCATGCCCCAGCAGCAATCCACTGGACACCCCCCGCCCGGCCTCTTCTCTGTACAGCCACCTGGTTCCACATTACAAAGATGCGGAGGACACCGGACCACCAGACCACTGTACTGGGTAAGTTGGAGTCATTTTCACCTCCCATGAGGACCGGGACTATCTTCAGAGGAAGGGCAGCTGGAACCTGCAATACAACTCTGCAGAGTTCAACCCTACAGGAGGACAGGGAGCTCAACTTGGGACTTGGAGCCAGAAATTTGCCTGAATCTCACAGGTCTGTGACTAGCTTACTGAGACTCATTGACTTTTATCTGCACACTGCTACCCATGTTGTCTATTGTGACAGCTGAGACATACCCTGAAAGAGGCCCTTCATCTTCATGGTTATTTTTTATTCCCAAAATTAGTATTATTAGTTTTTGTCTCTTTTCTTTTCTTTTGCTCCTCTTATCTTTAATTTTTTTCCCTACTCTTTGCAAATATT